CCCCCCCCCCCCACATATGAACCCATCAATACGCTAATCATTTGGTTGAGAAGATGATCGCCATTTAACGCTTACGCCCTCCAAGATTTCAGATCTCCATTCCATGGCGCATGAGATTGTACAAATATGACTTGATCTATCAAAATACGAGCAGATTCATTTCATAGTACACACGCAACGACCCAGATTCCAGGATCAAATCAAATCTCAAATTCTCTGTGTTTCCTCAAGAGGATCGACTACGAATCAAGAGTAGATCGACAAAAATTGTTGAAATCGAGATCTAAACCTGGTGTCCGAAGCAGATGCCGAGGATCTTCTTCTTCATCTGATCGAGCTTCCCGACGAGAGAACAAAGCCTGAGGATCCAATCGTCGTCGGCGAAAGCATCCTGAGAGCTTCCACTGATGACGAAACCGTCGTAGCTGTCGAGATCTTTGTCGTCGGGAAATTCTCCAGCGATGACACGAAACGCATCCCAGTGCTCTCCTTCGTCGGCGAGGAGGGATTTGAACACGTTGAAGTAGCCTCCGTATGTGCTCTTCACGAACTCCGAGTCCTGTGTTGCCAGAAACAGAGCATACCTCTTTTGCCCAACCATTTTCTTCTTCCTCTTCTGATTTTGCGAAGAAGAAAACAGAGGACTTTGACGATGGAGGAATGAGGGTGGAGAGATGGGGAAATGCCGAAACACGTTATTTATATGGTGGTGTACATTTTTACATGGCAGGTTACATTCACCTAACAAATCTTTTTTTTTTATTATATATAAAATTTTATTATTATATACGAAATTTGAAAAAAAAAATTTGCCATTTGCTACGAGATTTTGGAAATGTATATATTTTTACGCAATTTCGTCATTATTTTATTTACTGAGGAAATTTCATAACTATCTTTTTAGTGAGGAAATGACGTTACTATTTTTCCTTTATACCACATTCACCACTCTCACAAGTTGCAAGACAAAAAAAGGTTATGGTACAAAAAAAAAAATATCATCCAGTAATACCAATACATATTACTCAAGAAGATAAATATATTTAAAATTATTTTTTGCCATATATGATTTATATATGTTTATTTATCGATTTGTTTTTACGTAGGTGTTATTTTTGTCAAATACAACAATTTTTTAGAGAGAATCTAATTATACATATTTTTCTAGGATCAAAATAAATATATTTTTCAACGAAAATATAGATTTAATCAGATCGGAAAGCAGATAAAAATAAGTAAATATAATTTTTACAAATAAATATGGAAAAAATAATCGGATCGAAGTTAAAATTCTAAATATTTACCCAGTTGCTTTCGTTTTTTGTTTTCTAATTTATGAAGAAAAAAAATGTCCGGCTTGGATTAGATTGGATTAGAGAAATAATACTCACTTTCAAAATATTATATAGTTTTGAAACAAATTAAACTTTTTTTTAGTAGGAAAAGGGAGACATCATATGTGAAAAAAGATGTCTAAGGGTCAAATTAACGGCATGTTATACCTACCAAACGGGACATGTATCACGTGGTCTTATTTCTCAATAGGAAAAGAATACGTAAATCATAGTCTATTATCAAAAATTCAAATTCGACATACGATTAATACATTTTTTTTTATTTCAATTTCGTCGTCGAGCTCTTCGATTTTTATGTAAAATATTGCTTAGGCTAATTTGGACCAAAACGTGATAGTCGCCGATACAGAAATATTAAAATGACCCTATTCTTATTATATTTTCATAATTTCGCATAATGCAATATCATGTTATTTAACTTTATGCTTCTTTATTTTGTTCCCAAACGTTTTAAAAAAAAAAACTTAGAGAAAAAAAAAAAGTTAAAAAGCAGGAATTTATCATTTTCGTCCACATTTAACGGTTGATACATCACGGCCACGTCATCAAAATTCGAAATTTTCATTCGAGCCAAATACGAGTATGGGCTTTACTATGGGCTCTTTTGAGCCATTTATGGGCCTCTTAATACACTATCAATTAAATCGTATCTCTGTATTTAAAATTTGTGCTTTATAATTTCATTTAAAAAAATTATTTAATCACCGATTAAAAATTTCAAGTCAAATACGAATATTTGGCCCCCAAAAAAATTAAACAGAACAAATATCATGTGGTGCGCATGCGTACCTTTTCCCTCCTCTTTTGTTTCATATATGTTTTTTTCTGTGTTATTTTGCTTTTTCCTTTATTTTAGTATGGTTTTATATTTTCCCAAATAATGAAAAAAACCAAAAAAACTTGCAAAGAAAAAGTAAGAAAGGGTTTGGCCAAAAATAACACACAAATCTTCTTCTTCTTTATTTAGACACTTTTTTCTATTTAACTTTTCTCCCTTTGCCTCGTTCCAATTTTGTTCTCTTCATTTATTGTATTGCGTTCATTAATTGTTGGTTTCTTCTTCTTCTTGGCGAAAATTTCATATAAATACTTCGTTTTTTAAATATATACCAAATAAATATAGAAACTTTTAATTTGATCTAATTGATACTTGAATTGTTATAATATTCTGAATTGATACCTCAAATATTTAAATATTCTAAATTAATATTCCAACTCATCACAAAATCAAATGCAATTTATAATCTTTATCCATTTTTTTATGTTGAAAATTTATAGCTAATTTATATATCATCGTAAAGTCTAGATTGAGAATTAACATCGATTTTGTAAATTGAGATATTCATTTGAAACATTTTAATATTTTAGATATTAATTTAAAATATTTTAATATTCAAGATATTAATTAGATCAAATTAAAAGTTTAGATATTTTTTTGATATATTTTACAAAGTTCAGGAATTTATGTCTGCATATTTTTAAGTTTGATAACGAAAAATTTACGGTTTGATAATGAAAAACTTATGGCACTAAACAGTGAAATGTAGCATTTTGTTAAATAAAATTTATCTAATTAAGTAAAAACCATCAATAAAAAGAATGATATATAAACCTCGATGAAGATTTGTTTTTGAATCTGTTAAAAGGGGTTTCATTTTTGTAACAAAGTTGAAGCAAACATTATTTAACGACACACATGTTAGGGGTACATACATACGGGCAAATGCAATTACATAAGCAACCGACGGATATATATACAAATATATATATATAACGACAAAATGAAATAAATGAACAGGAAGAAAACTACTGCATTTGTAGTTTTCTCTATTTAACATTACGATATATATATATATATGTATGTGTGTGTGTGTGTGTGTGTATCTCGGGATCGGTCATAAGATAAGATGAACTCGTAGAAACTATGGATTTCACTTGAAAATGGTGGGTTCATTCTGATTCGATGAATTTGGACCGTTGGATGGGCGGAGAGAACATGATCTTTGACCGTACATTGGCTTCTTTCTCTCTGACAAGTCTGACGTTTCCTCAGACATTCTGTCTCATGCTGTTCTCTCTCTCTCTCTCTCTCTCTCTCTCTGCTTGTCTTTTCATCTCACACAGGTCATTGCGTATGCTGGAAATTTTTTTTGTCTTTCCTCTTCTCCTCCTCTCATCTTCGTACACGTGTTGAATATCTCCACCGTTAGATCTTTCTATTTTCTTTTATAAAATATGATAACGTCTTTATTAAATTGCTTTCTATTTTTTTGCTTTGAAAAATATATTCGTTTATTTTATCCGATGATTTTTTGTGGGCCAATTCGATCTAATTGGTCTCCTCCTTTTTTAATATAAATCATTGGAAAACCCACAAAACGGATGGCATTTATAAATGCAACATAAGATGTTAGGAAAATTAACAGTAGAGATTATAAAACATAATTGTCATACGTTCATCTAGAAATTCTAATATAATGGACCTAAAAAAAATACTACAATCTAAAAAATTACTGAAGTGGAAAATTTTATCCAAAGATATAATTTTTTAATGGAAAGCTTAAAAAACATATAAACAACTGACATAACATCTCAAATATTCAAATGTGTAAATATATATATATATATATATTCATGCGTGTGTAGTGGTTAATAGGGATGGGTGTTTTGATTCGATTCTTTCAGTTTATAAAATTATATACCGATCGGTTATCATTTTATATTCGGTTTGGTTTGGTTTCGATTCCGGTTTTTAGTAAAGAAATCTAATTAATACATTTTTAGTTTTTTCGGGAGTTTTTCAAAATTTAGTTCGGTTCGGTTCTAAAAAATTCGATTTTCTATAAAATTCCATTCGAAAATTTTAAACGATTCGGTTAAAAAAATACCATATTTTTTGGTTCGATACAATTTCGGATAACTATACTGAAACGTCTACCCTAATAGTTTATTATTATATTAGAATAATACAGGAAGCAATTGTATATATGTGGTACCTGTACTGGAAGTGATGGTGTTTCTTCTTCAGGTCAGGGGTTCGAATCCAGGCATGCGGGGAGGGAGAGGCATAGCCAAAGGCTGCGTGTTCAAAGGCTGCTCTCAAACTCAGGGAGATGTAGGTTGGGCCGAAGGCCCAGATGAACTTCCTGATTTGACCAAAAAAAAATATTAGATAATTTATTAAATAGTAGATAAATTTATATGCACCACTTGTCGATAGTTATATTAAAAAAACTCTTATAATTGGCAATTTGCCATTATGTTGTTATGTCGATGCTTGTATCCATGGATATATACATGCATATATGTATATCTTGATGTCTTTGAAACACATATATAATAATACATAGGTGTAAAATAATAATAATAATAATAATAATAATAATAATAATAATAATAATAATAATAATACGAAAATGGCTTTTTATTATGTTGTTACGGAGAGTCATTTATTTGACGCAACGTCGGTCGTCCCCCACCACCAAGAACTCTCTGCTGAGGAAACATACAAAGGAAGACACTTTCTCTCAGTCGAAAGCGTTCATGAAAATAGAAACCCCCAAAAAGCTCAAGAAATTCCCGAGAGAGAATCGATCTCTATATTCACTCTCACTCTTCTTCTTCTTCTTCGCCTGTAAGCTCCCGAATCCCCTTTCTTCTTCTTCCTCGTATGTTGTTCCGTGTTCTTGCTTTTCTGATTTGCTATTTTTTTTGTGGGTCTGGGAGAAGAAACGAAAAAAAAATGGAGCCTGGGCTGAGCTCGACGACAATGGTGGAGAGAGACGAAGGGTATTTCCGTCAGAAAAGAAGGCGAGAATCGAGAGGCCAAACAGTGCAAGGGAAACTGATACTGTGTTTGATACTAGATCTGTTCTGTGTTTTAATCCTCTGATCTGTAATCTCGTTAATGGCGGTGATATTGGCGGGACGGCTCAATCTCCTCTGTCTCATTATCAAATACTCACACTTCTTCTTCCTCCTCCTCCTCATCTCTCTGTGTTAATTTTCATTTTGGTGTATAATCTCTCGCACTAATTACGTTCTTTTTTCCGGCTTTTAATTTCACAATACCCCATATTATATATATATATATGTATGTATGTATGTATGTATGTGTGTGTATCTAATATATATATATATATATGACACACATGTTAGGGGTACATACATACGGGCAAATGCAATTACATAAGCAACCGACGGATATATATACAAATATATATATATAACGACAAAATGAAATAAATGAACAGGAAGAAAACTACTGCATTTGTAGTTTTCTCTATTTAACATTACGATATATATATATATATGTATGTGTGTGTGTGTGTGTGTGTATCTCGGGATCGGTCATAAGATAAGATGAACTCGTAGAAACTATGGATTTCACTTGAAAATGGTGGGTTCATTCTGATTCGATGAATTTGGACCGTTGGATGGGCGGAGAGAACATGATCTTTGACCGTACATTGGCTTCTTTCTCTCTGACAAGTCTGACGTTTCCTCAGACATTCTGTCTCATGCTGTTCTCTCTCTCTCTCTCTCTCTCTCTCTCTGCTTGTCTTTTCATCTCACACAGGTCATTGCGTATGCTGGAAATTTTTTTTGTCTTTCCTCTTCTCCTCCTCTCATCTTCGTACACGTGTTGAATATCTCCACCGTTAGATCTTTCTATTTTCTTTTATAAAATATGATAACGTCTTTATTAAATTGCTTTCTATTTTTTTGCTTTGAAAAATATATTCGTTTATTTTATCCGATGATTTTTTGTGGGCCAATTCGATCTAATTGGTCTCCTCCTTTTTTAATATAAATCATTGGAAAACCCACAAAACGGATGGCATTTATAAATGCAACATAAGATGTTAGGAAAATTAACAGTAGAGATTATAAAACATAATTGTCATACGTTCATCTAGAAATTCTAATATAATGGACCTAAAAAAAATACTACAATCTAAAAAATTACTGAAGTGGAAAATTTTATCCAAAGATATATAGATGCAGGCAAAGATTCTGTTGCAATGGTGATTTGTGTTCACGACAGAATAAAACCAGGAACAGATATCGTCGTCTTCGTTCTGCGTTCCAAGTAAGTGTACGTATATATATGTGTATATATTACATTCTTGATAATTTACTACAAGTGAGATTGTTCATTTATTTAGAGAAATTTTTTCCGTGAATTTCAATTAATGAGAAAATCTACTGTATGATTTCGTGCGTGTATTTGCATTTATTGTAATTTTCGAAATGCAGTGTAGACAATGTATAATTAAGTTGTAGACGTGTCGCTCATACACAATGTGTATGAACATGTTGTTGTCTTTTAGTTCGTTGTATTATTATTGGAAAAGATATATTATATTAGAATATTTTAAAGAAGGATATTATATGTGGGAAATTTTATATATATATATATATATATATATATACAGAGCAGAGAGTTCAATGCAGTGAAAAATATGACTGTTCTATTGCAAGTTCAAAATCAATGTCAGACCTTCTTACTATATACAATATATAGATGATCACATATGTGTGTGTATATATATATATATATATATATTATAAGTTAAAAGATTTAAATAACTTTGGTATATGCTGTGTTACAAATTTCTTGGGAAATGTGGAAGGTTTTGAATTCCCCCCCCCCCCCCCCCCCCCTCTTGTGGGCCTTCTTGTGTTCTCGAAGCCCCAAGCAAACATGTCACATCACATGGGTCTTGGTGTTTACATAGAACTGACACACATACATATAATATGTATATATATATGTAGCATACATATAGAGTATGTAATTTTGTATATAATATGCATGAATGGTTTTCCTTATTGTGTATTATTTGCGTATATATATGTAGGATACATATAGAACATGTAATCGTGTGTATAATATATTAATATGCTTGAGTGGCTTCCCTTATTGTGTATTATTTGCGTATATAATATTAATGAATTTGCTTCGATTTGATAATCACATGAAGTAATTGGAATAAAGCCCGAAGTAATGTAGAATTTCTAGAGGGTTGAAATTGCAAAACACAAACCCAATATCGATCTAAACACACGTACAACGATATATATATATATAGCTTCATTATAGGTATATATTTATATACGTATAGCTCGTACTTTGATTTCTCATAAAGACGATGAGATTTCAAGAGAGGACAAAAAGGTAAAATAGAATGTGGGCTCAAAGCTTAAAATCACCAAAAAAAAAAAAGGAAGAGGAAAAGAAATTGTGGGCCTTACGCGCAGAAGGAAGGACAGTGTGACATTGAGCCCAGTTCCAAACACATTTGTCTGGTCGGACCAATTATTGATATTTTACCTTAACGTTGTAATTGTTATATTTGGGGATTTGATAGAAGCCTATATCCCCCTTAAATGTATCAATACATTTATTTATTTATTCAGCAAATTCAGATCGTGTCCGATTATTAACGCCTTTTATCTCAAATATATATATATATATACTTACGCCCATATATATATATATATATATATATATGGACGGATCTAGAAAAATTTATCAATAGGATAATGTAAAAAATTATTATAATTTAAGAGATAAATTTAAAATTTTTATGGGATATTTAATAATTTTTGTTAGAAACTTGTTAATTTATAATGAAATTAAGTTTTTTTTAATAAAAAGAATGGAGGTATATCCCCATGATTCATAAAATAGGTACGTCCATATATATATATACACGAGATATTATATATATACACATACAAAATATCTAAATATTATGATTTAGACTAGAATATTCTTATAAGATTTAAAATTTATATATAATTTATCGTATATTAATAAAAATCAACAATATTTATTTCTGAATTTCCTATGACTAAAAAACCTTCTAGTAAAAAAAAACATGGCTTCTTCTGCCTTCCGGCGCGCATAGAGAATATAGATGGGCCTTGGGCTTCTAAAATTTAAAATTGAAATTATAGGCCCAAAAACGTTGTAGACGTCGCGACAGAAATGCTGCAGCAATATAATATATATATATATTGTAAAGTAAATTAATATTGTGGATAGTCGCAGCCTATTTTATCAAATATGTGTGTTGGTTAAATATTTTTCTTGAAAAAAATTATGTTACCTATTTATAAATACTACATGTGTCGTATTTTTGTACGTTAGAGAGATTGATTTGGGAATAATATATTATTTCGATTTCCATATAATTTATTCACAAACTTTTAAAAAAATGATATAATATTTGTATTGAAGAATCGGAAGTCGCCCACATGAGCCACTGGAGAATAAACGCACTTCAACGAAGATTTGGTTTTTATTTCTCTCTCTTTTTTTTTTCACTTTAACTTTTTTGCTTTATGCTACCTTTTTTTTTTGGAATTCCAAAGCCCAAACTGCAAATTAAATGCCTTACACGAATTTCTATGACAACCGATGATGGATTTTCTTAGTTTATATAAAATTTAATATATAATCATATCATATTAAAGGAAATTTATTATAAAATCTATTTGATTTGATGTAAATGATTAAATTAATGGAACTCAGATATAATAAAAATAATAATAACAAAATTGAGTGAAACAAAACCTTTAATTAAAAATTAAACATAACTAAAATCTAATACAATTCAAAAAAATCATTATTAAAAATGAATTTAATTATGCAAAACAAAATATCCAAACCAAAACAATTGAAAGGAAATGCGAAGCATCGGATCTAAAAAGAAGAGTAATATTTCTTTATTTGTTGAATTTTGGCTTTACAAAACTTTTTGATAGGAATCGGTCATATACGTTTCTTTCATTGGACTCCAATCCAATGAGCGCCTCTTATTTTTATTTTCATGTTTGGATTATGATATTACTCCATTATATCAAAATATTCGAATTTAATTGAGGCACGATTATTTATTATTCATTTAATTTTTTCCATTTTTCCAAACCAGAATGATTTCTTACATTTTTCCATTTGTCCACTTGTTTGATTGATGTTTTACCAAAAAAAAAGCTAGTCATATAGTATATTGATGAATAGAGTTTTTGGGTAAATCCTACTAAAATTTTTAAATTTATAAAATGATAAAAAAAACTAATTTATAAACTTTTGGTTTGATAAATTTATTTTCAAAATTGTAAAATATGTTATTATAATTTTTAAATTTGCTAATTGGTATTAGAAAAAATATTTACGACGTTGATCTATAAATTCATTTGAGAATTATAATAACATATTTTAAAAATTTGAGAATTATAACGATATATTTTATAAATTTAGAAATAAATTTATAAATAAAAAGTTTAAAAATTAGTTTTTCACTATTTACACGTTTTGACCTTTTTTTAAAAAAGTATATAGTAGTACAGATTCCACGTTATTCTATTCTAAACTTGAATTTTTATAAAACCAAATAATATATTGCGGAGATTGAAAATGGGTGGGGTTACACACCTTGTCCTATGTGCAGTCCTCTAATAATTTAATTAAAAGAAATGAAATTAAATGCACTGCTTTTACATATTTAATTTATAACTTAAAATGCAATGGAATGGAATGTATATATTTGATAATATATGGGTGAGAGTGGTGGAAGATAGGTGTTCGGTTACAAAGTACCTGTGTGCTTACCTCACCCTGATAAGCCCAAAATGGCATTGGGCCACGTTCCTAATTTCCATTTTTATTTGTTTGAATTACGTATTATCAAATTATTTCATATAATATTGTCACACATATATATATGTATGGTTCGATTTCAACAAGTTTCTTTAATATCGACTTATTTTAGTATCAAATTTCATATCGTATGGCTAGACGTCTGTTTGCATATTCTCTCAAATCCACCGTGTTATTAAAAATATAAACTTTGATAATATAAAAAATACTAAATTTAATGTATTCAATAGAAAATGTAATTTGCATAATTATTGCATTTATTTTTTTACTTGAATGGGTCTTATTCTAAGAAATTTATTTTGGTTTAAAAATATATAAAAAAAACGAATCTTATATAAGACTATGTTCTCTTGATCGAAAACTTATTTATAAATGATTTCGTTTAAATTAAATTGTCTAATTTATAAAAGTTATAAAATAGACAAAAAAAAAAAAATAGAATAGACAAATCCACGAATAACAAAATGTCCATACATATATATATCTGTCTACTAGGTGTGGTTGGTTGGTTATTTGTTACAGTTGAGACCATATATTATAACATAATTCGAAAACTCGGGGTCTATGACTATTGACTGTTGTATAATAAAATATTTTAAAAAAAAGAAAATTATATTATAAGGCTATTAATAAAATTGACACGAAGGAGGGTATAATGATGGTGAAGGAAAAAAAAAACAAGTACCTGTCAAAAAATATGTAACATCACAAATCAGGCACTCACTTTTCCTCTTTTTTTTTTTTAATTAAAAAAAGATTCATTTCCCTATTTCAGGGCCTTTTAGCCAATTTCTCTTAATCATGACATCCACATAGCTTTCTCCAAAATATACACATTGACTAAATACACACATTGATTTTATATATATATATTTTTTTTATATAGTAAAAAATTTTCATCTCTTATTTTTCGGATGCACTGATTGGATAAACTCAATGCATATGCACGAATCTACAACATGCAGAAAGTAAATCAGTCGGCAACTTACGGACGACAGATGAACAAATAAAGAGTCAAATCCTCAATCTCGACATTTGACGATACTCCTAATCAATTCACCTGAAATTTTATCTGATTTTATATATTTGCGTATATGTGTATAAATAATAAGAACAAAGAGATTGAATAAAGACTTGAAGAGAAAAAAAATCAAAAAAATTTCAAATCATCAACTCCTCTGGTCTAATAGTTTTAGCAATGTTTTCACCAAAAAAGACCAAAAAAGACAAAAAGAAACATGAAAAAGAAGAGGCGCATGTTAGCGCCGTTCAGTCCCCAACCCACTGGTAGTAGTGGTACATACACACATCACAATTTTTTTTTTAAAAAAAAGCAAAAAGACAGTAACTTGAAATAAAGATCACAAGATGTTATTAGAATTAAATTTTATATATTTATACGCATAAAATACACTTTAAACATCAACCATTTGTAATCAACATTGACATGAGTGTGTACATACATAAAAAAAAAACATTTTGCATCATGTAAACTTTTATGTTGAGGCATTTTTGTAATCTTAACAAATATTTCCGCCCTTGATGATGCATAAATCCACATATTTTCACTAAAAGGTTGAATTTTTATATATGTTTGTGGTTTTCATTTGTCATTTAGAATCATTTTTTTAATTAAAGATGAGATTTTTTTCTACAACATCTTGAAATCCAATGGTATGATTTGATGATTAATTAGAGAATATTTTCGAAATTTATACAAGAAAAATGTTGAAATGAGCACAATAATAATAAAAAAAATATATAAAAAAAAAACAAGAGCACCATCGGGTATCTGACAGTTCCGTATCAGCTTCCCCTGATTCTCCCCCCACAAACACAGCACACTTTCTCTCTCTACAAGAACACTCCCACTTTCTCTCTCTACAAAATCCACGCACAAAAAAAAGTTCCTCGCTTTCGTTTTGGCTTCTTCTCTCCGATTTTAATCGTTTCATGTCATATTTGTTTATTATTACTTTGGTTTCTGATTCATTACTCACACACTGTGCGTGCGAGCTACTGTTAAAGAAGAAGAAACTTTGATACACCCGAGAAAAAAAAGCTTTTTTTTCCCTTTTGCTTTCCTTTTTTTTTTGTGGGGGCAACAAAAACCAAAGCAGAACAAAAAAAAAAGTAATGTTCTTGAGCTTCTTCGGTTCTTGTTTGGCTCCTCTTAGCTAAGCTTCCATGGCCGTGATGTCGAAGATGACGATGAATCCATTTTACCTCTTCTTCTTCCTATCCTTCTTACTACTCTGTCTCGCTACTTGTTCTCTGTCGTACGAGCCCCGGAATCATGAAGGTAGAAAAAAAGAGAGCTTTTTTTTTTATGTATTTCGATTTTTTGAACAATTATGAAATATGGGTTTAGCTAAATTTCAGTTCTTTACGACGTGGTTGGGTTTTCTTTTCCTTTTTCTTTTGGGTGGCGTTGAAATGATAGTGGAGGCGCTGATAAGTATAAAGAACGATTTGCACGATCCTCATGGGGCTTTGAGCAACTGGGATGAGTTTTCCGTTGATCCTTGTAGCTGGGCGATGATTACTTGCTCTCCCGACAACCTCGTCATCGGCCTGTGAGTTGTTTTTTCTTTTAAATATATTTAAGTTTTGTTTCGTAGTTTTTCTCTCTCTGGAGTTCCGAGGAAGAGATCGAACAGTTCATTAATGGCGACAAAGTTTTCTCCAATGGCAGAGGAGCTCCGAGCCAGTCTCTCTCGGGAACTTTATCTGGGTCGATCGGAAATCTGACTAATCTTCGCCAAGTGTAAGTAGATAACGACATATTCCTTTGTGTTTTCTCAAATCTCCGTTCGTTTTTGTCCTTTTTCCCATGTAATTTCAAGTTTTTATATTGATGGGTTTTGTTTTTTTCTTGGAAATTTCTCGTGTTATGGATTTTGAAGGTTGTTTCAGAACAACAACATCTCTGGTAAAATTCCACCGGAGCTCGGTTTTCTGCCTAAATTACAGACCTTTGATCTATCCAATAACCGGTTTTCCGGCGAAATTCCCGGTTCCATTGGTCAGCTGGATAGTCTCCAATATCTGTGAGTTCTTTCGTCTTTCTCACACAATGATGCTTCTTTCTCAAGTTCATCGTCTTACCTCGTACTATCTGTTCTTCTGCAATGATTCCATTGTAGGAGACTGAACAACAACTCATTGTCTGGGCCCTTCCCTGCCTCTCTGTCTCAAATTCCTCACCTCTCGTTCTTGTGAGATGTTGATTTATTTTTCTTTTATGCCTATGGTTCTTGTGAATCACGATTTGAATAATGGGTTCGTGGCCGTTTTGATCTTTTTAAACTCAGGGACTTGTCTTACAACAATCTCAGTGGCCCTGTTCCGAGATTCCCAGCCAGGACTTTCAAGTATGAAATATGTTCATTGTCTTCAACTTTTGTTCATATTGCCACAGATTCTCTCTCTCTCTCTGTCTCTGGATTCTTGATTCCATTGCTGTTGAATGCAGTGTTGTGGGGAACCCATTGATTTGTAGAAGCAGCCCACCTGAAATATGCTCAGGATCAGTGAATGCAAGTCCTCTATCTGTTTCATTGAGCTCATCATCTGGTATGAAGCTCGAAATGCAGCCCTTCTTGATCTGACATCTCAATTGTAATGCTGTCTGCTCCATGTAACTGTTTGGTTATGTTTTTCCGGTGAAACTGTAGGACGCAGGTCCAACAGATTGGCCATTTCCCTCGGTTTAAGCCTTGGTTTCGCTGTTCTAGTAATCATAGCAATATGGTTCATTTTGAAACGAAAGAACCGAAGAAAGCTACTGATCCTTCGCATGAGTGGTTTGTCCTGTCGAGGCTTTTGTCTATTCGGTTCCATCAAGAAAGACTTTGTCTCAGTTGATGAATGCCTTTTCTTTTGGCAGACAAACAAGAGGAAGGGCTGATAAGCCTTGGAAATCTCCGATGCTTCATGTTCAGAGAACTCCAAATAGCTACAGACGGGTTCAGTTCCAAGAACATTCTTGGTGCTGGAGGATTCGGTAACGTGTACAAGGGAAAGCTAGGAGATGGGACTATGGTTGCAGTGAAACGATTAAAGGATCTGAACGGGACGTCTGGAGATTCACAGTTCCGTACCGAGCTTGAGATGATCAGCTTGGCTGTTCATAGGAATTTGCTCCGGTTGATCGGTTATTGTGCTACTTCTGGTGAAAGGCTTCTTGTCTACCCTTTCATGTCCAATGGCAGTGTCGCCTCAAGGCTTAAAGGTAAAACAAAAGGGCACCTCTTTCATTCTTACCCTTCAACGTATAAGTTTCTAACTTGTCGTTCTGACAGCTAAGCCGGCATTGGATTGGAACATGAGGAAGAGGATAGCAATTGGATCTGCTAGAGGATTGCTGTATCTGCACGAGCAATGTGACCCAAAGATCATTCATAGAGACGTTAAGGCAGCGAATATTCTACTAGACGAGTATTTCGAAGCAGTTGTTGGAGATTTTGGGCTCGCTAAGCTCCTGAACCATGGGGATTCCCATGTCACAACTGCTGTTAGAGGAACTGTTGGCCACATTGCACCCGAGTATCTCTCCACTGGCCAGTCGTCTGAGAAAACCGATGTCTTCGGGTTTGGTATACTCTTGCTAGAACTCGTAACTGGAATGAGAGCTCTCGAGTTTGGCAAGACTGTTAACCAGAAAGGGGCCATGCTTGAATGGGTAAGCAGATTCTCTCACGACACATTCTTGAGTGTGTGTGTATATATATAAGCGAGATCCATGTCAATGCAGAACCAGCGAAAAGGGTATCTCAAACAAGTCGAAAAATCCGTTCTTGTGATTTGTAGGTGAGGAAACTGCACGAAGAAATGAAAGCAGAAGAGCTGGTGGATCGAGAACTGGGGACGAACTATGACCAGATAGAGGTTGGTGAGATGCTGCAAGTGGCACTTCTGTGCACACAATACCTACCAGCGCACCGTCCCAGGATGTCTGAAGTGGTTCAGATGCTGGAAGGCGATGGCTTAGCCGAGAAATGGGCCGCTTCTCATAACCATTCACACTTCTACCATTCCAACATCTCTTCCAAAACCTCTTCTCGGTCTACATCTGTTTCAAGACCCGATGGCAATGGCAATGATCGGTCGAATCAACTGTTTGGTATGGCATTCGATGACGATGATGATGATCATCATGCGTTGGATTCACTCGCCATGGAACTATCAGGTCCAAGATAACAGATTGACATTAGCAGAGATCGAAGTTAAAGCCCTTCATTTTTCCACGGAAAGCTCTCATTCTCCCGTACTCTACGCATTCATTTATATATGTATATGGCGAAATTCAGATTCTGGGTCTGTAATGCATTGATGTATATATATTTAAGCTTTTGGTTTCGGGATGTTATTTCATTGTCTTGCTGCACATCTTTCTTCTGGGTTCTTGATTTTTTTTGGTTTGAAGACAGACAAAGCTTTCACATTAGGACGACAATGGAACGTTTCAAGAAGAGAGATAGGAAAGAGACGACATCAGATGTGCTGTGTTTGACTCTGTCTTTTGACCAGAAACTGATGTACTGTTTTATCCCCCAACTCATTTGCGTATGTTTTTGTCCGACTTTTGACCCTCATCTGTCATTTTCACTAGCTGAATATGTACTTTCTTTCTTTCTTTTTTCACTAGAATATTATGATTTTATTTTCTGGTTTTTCAATTTAAATATATGGGCAAATCTTGGATTTTGACATTTTCACTTGATGGGTTGAGGGAAAAAAAAAAAACTTGGAACCCTCATCACCAGTAGCATTTTTGAAATTTTGTAATCTTGAAGAATAAAACAGTAAAATTGTGGTAGTTGATACCCAACAAAAATAAGATTAGTTAATGTATTGAACATTGATGCTCGAATTTATTAAATCGTGAATACCAAAATTTATTTAGGGGATGTTTATTTTCAAATATTTTATATGGGGTGTTATTCGGTATTTGTAAAAGTTGTAGGATCTAGTTGTAATTTTGTAAAAGATAACATATTTGAACCCAAAAATTGCAGCTTTCTGAAGCAATTGGCGGTATGGCGAATCAATCCTCGTCGTGTCCCATCTACTGCGTTTCGTTCAATCAAGATAACAGGTATCTTCTTATTTCTCCGATTTGAATTCGTTGAAGAAGACGATTCGATTCCCCTTTTTTTTTTGCTTTTTCTGGTTCGATCTTCTCGAACAAGCCATAATTCAAAGCTCTGCTGTTTCTTTTGGCTCAATTTGCAGTGGTTTCGCGATAAGCTCAAAAGATTCGTTCAAAATATTCGATTCCACTACAGGCAGACTCTGCTATGGACGAGGTAAGCTTATCGATTTCGAATTCTTTCTCCCATTTGTTTCTGTAATCCTTAGCCCTTTCTAATTGGGTTCGTGTTATGGGTTTCGGAAGATGTCATTGAAAAAGGAATATTACTCAAATAACCCACTTGGGTCGCAGCAATTTCAGTGTACACCACCCAAAAAAAAAAAAATTTGCGACCTTATTACGACTAATATATAACTAATATACAACTTATTACGACTAATAAACTACTCTTATTTCGTAATAAGGTCGCAAATTTTTTTTTTTTTTTCGGTGGTGTACCCTGAAATTGCTGCGACCCAAGTGGGTTATTAGGGTTAAACCCCCCATTGAAAAAGCTACACTTTTGTTGATTTTTCCGCTAGATTTTGTTTTTTTTTTCTCAAGTTTCTTCCCGTTTAGCGGTATTGGGTTGAAGGAATTGACTTTTACAGTTTGATCATGAGAGCATCTGATATTGATGGCAACTTCATGTAATGCAGAGATCTGATGCTTGTTAATGGTGTTAAACTTGATTAAAAGTGTCTGGACATAAATATGTGCTCATACTCTGTGTATTTTGCACACCATCTATCTCAAAAATTCACATAATGTTAGGTTCTTCGATCAGTGGATACGGGCGAATTCATGCTCTTCTATTGCTTTAGTCATTGAACTGCTTTCCTGTGAAAGTGATCTGAATTGTGAAGTCTTATGTCTGGACTTCAAAGTTCTTGCTCTTGATTGTTGCTAGCTGCTGGGGCTTACGTAATTGTCGAGATGTTGTACCGCTCAGATCTACTTGCCATAGTCGGAGCTGGTGAACAGGTTCTTGATGAATGTTTTTCTCGCTAAATTCATGCATATTGTTTCAATTCATTCAAACAAATTACTCTCTACGTGATCTGGAAAAATCGCCAGCCTTCTCTGTCACCGAGGCGTCTCTGTTTATTCAAGACCACAACCGGGTCTCCTCTCAGGGAGTTGAACTTTTTAACTTCTATTCTTGCTGTCCGCATGAACAAGAAAAGGTTAGCTTATAATCTCTGGTCTTTGCTTATCTATGGATACTGTTGTTGTTTTTCCCTTTCTTGTCTTGTCTTGGGACAGTGAACATATTGATTCACGTGCTGATTCTTAACAGACTTGTTGTTGTGCTAGTAGAGAAAACGTTTGTCTACGACTTGAATACTCTCACTATGCTGGATACGATTGATACAGCCCCAAATCCGAAAGGTGGGTGTGAAAAAAAGCAATGGCTTGGGCTCGTAGATTCTGTTCCATGGCAGATTTTACGCAGGCATATACAGGTTTTTCTTCCCCACCGTGATTTTGGTTTCCTCGTCCTATCTTGTTGCCAGGTCTTTGTGCATTCTCTCCATGTTTAGAAGCTTGCTTCCTTGCCGTACCCGCCAGTGCAACCAGAGGATCCGTTTTAGTGTATAACGTGATGGATTTGCAGTCTCACAGCGAGGTTTACTTCAAAGATTCTTGCGTTTTTTTTTGTTTGGAGTAGAATAGGTTTCTTCTATCTAGTCTAGCATCAAACCCGTTGTTATCGTTTCTTGATCTTGTTGTATGTTTGTTTTGTTAAATTTAACGACAGATAGATGCCCACCGATCTCCGCTGGCTGCAATTGCCCTCTCTTCAAACGGAATGTACATTGCCACGGCTTCTGAACAAGGAACCCTAATCAGGGTCCATCTTGTTTCAGATGCGACCAAGGTGATGGCAAGTTACTAGGAATTCTTATCAGATTAATAGACCGATTTTGTTTCTCTCCTAAAAATTCCAAGTGTTTTCTCTTTTGCAGTCATATAGCTTCAGGAGGGGCACATACCCGTCGACGATATATTCACTGTCTTTCGGACCGTCGACACATCTTCCAGATATACTGATAGCTACAAGTTCTTCTGGCTCGATTCATGCCTTTTTTCTACAGTCGGCCATAAAGCAAAGGTAAGTGTATCAAGCTCCACCTCCCTTACCCTACTTACCAAAAACTCGAGACAAGGATCATCTTATTATTATTGCTTGCAGAAGTAAAAGATCTACCAGCTTTCTCGGATCTGTTCTTCCCGATACCGTGACTGATGCATTAGATCCAGCTCATCATCACGTGCTTCAGAACGCCGTTTCAGCTGGAATCAAGAGGTAAAAATGCATTCTTCTGCATCATGGCTGATGCCCTTCTATCAAAGACGTTTACGCAAAAAGGTTGAAAATTCCGGCTTTTTCACCTCAGATTTTGGTTGCTTATACAGTCATGCAGTGGTCAGGAAGATAGACAAAGTAGAGGGTACATCTCCATTTGATTCTTCATCCTTTAGGTGAGTTTTGTTATCCTTCAAAGGCATATTAAGTTAACTATTCAAACATGAATCTATTAACCTCAGACCCTAAACCCTAAAACACAATTGAGTTTACCGGTATTATTAGTAATTAGTTTAGTTGGCTGATGAACTTTCTTAATCGCGGCTCGTATTTTCAGGGCGACGATATTGGTAATAACGGTTCACGGGTATTTCCAGGAGTATACTCTATCTATAGACAACAAGAATGAATCTGCATGGACTTTAGAACGCGAATTCAACCTCTTGTCCATCACCACAAGCTGACATTAACCCTAAGAATGTATGTCTCATTTATTTGGAAATCCATGATTGATGTCGAGGAAGTCATGCTCTTCCTTCCATGTGTATATAACGAATGTATTATGGGGATGAATAAATATGTATATGATTCTTGGTTCCATTTACAGCGTTCGTTCTTATTGATTACTCCATGGCTACTAGTTGAGTTTGCTATGAAGAGACACTACTGACCTGCTTTTGCATATTCACCCGAGAGGGGGGAACCCTACAACGAAATCAAAAACCCTTTTGGACACACAACAACTACATGGTATGGAGGACTACTTATGCTACAACAGGCGAGTGACCAAAGATCTTTATAGGTTCCCTTTCAAGCTTGTTTCATTTCATTTCTTCTGTATGGTGATAAGGCCAAAAGGTAAATCTCCACAGAACCGATCGTGTACATTTTAGACGACTATTCTCCATCATGACAGACAGAGATCCATGTAAAAGTTAAATAGAGTATACACAAATGCATCTCTACCATAATAGTTACCTGTTGTTTGATGCATTTGTGTATTCGACGAACGAAAGATACTCATTTTGTTCTTGTTCTAATAACCTGCCCTCTCGAGGCCTTCCTCTCCATTTTCTCCCGTTTCTTACGACTCTTCTCATCCTCCACTTCTCCCTACATCAGCCACGGGGACAAACCCGGTTTATGTTTTCACAATAACGCCTTTTTCTTCTGCTTTTACGAAGCAGTTGAAAGAGTACGAGGAATGAGTGAGTGATTTTACCTCTGAACCATGTGACAAGAATCCTCGAATAAGACAAGAAGCCTTGTAAGCGCCAAATGCAGGAATCTAAAGCAAAAACACAACAAAGCATTATCATATTTCATACATCTTCTGATCTTACTGTCCTAAAAGACGGCTTTGATGTCTCAGACTCGTCCTATGGGATCGATATAGTAATATACAAAACTAAACGGGACTTACCAATAGATACGTGTACCAAAATTTGTCGGAGATGATCGATGCTAGCTGCACGAACATCGTAATGTAGATTACGTCGTGTAAGTATCTGCAAAGACAGAGACATTACAACTAAGGATAAAGTTTTCGTTATGGAGACAGAGAGCCAATATCAGAGTCATGATCCAATGATTCGTCTATTCATGAAACACCAACGGAAAGATTCCTACTTTTTTTTTCTGGGTGATAGCTCGAGAGATAACGTTCAGTTCAACATAGAACATACCCGCAAATCCCACCAGTGGTCATGTCGAATCCACCATCAATAAGCTCGCCATCGTCAGTAAAGCTAGGTTTTGCCATTTGATCGAGCTGCTTATACGGAATCGCGTAAGCCAGCGACGTTAAAAGCAGACCAATTCCATGTTTCCAAGTAACACTCGAATGGAAAATCAGCATCCTCACTACGATATACACAACCTGTATTTCCACGAAAAAACACCCCATTTCACAAAGCGAATCGAGGCAAACCATCAGGGTTGACCTAAAAACAGAAAAATTTTGAGGATAGAAGCAGAAAATTCCTCCCTTATTGCATTTTGACATGATCACTCGCAAGGTTTAGGGATTTCGTAAACGCAATTACAACAAAATCCAAGTGATTTCAGCTCGAAATTGGGAAATCGGAAGACATATGGATGAAGAGGGAGTACATTGCAACCGATCACAAGACGACGGAGTTTGGCCATGTGCCGAGCGTTCTCCTCCTTACGCTTCTTCGCCCCTTGATTCGCCATTCTCCCTCTCTCTCTCTCTCCCTACCAAACTACAGAAGAAGTCAAGTCGGAGAGGCCGAGGAGGATCGAAGAGGCTTTAGCAATTAGCAGTGTGCAAGCTGCGTTGATTAAAAAAAGTCAAAACTAAAATCTTTGACTTTTTAGAATGGGCCGAATGTCTTGTTTTTGAGGCCCATTACCAAGCCCGATCCAAAATACTTTTTACATTTCCCGCAAGATCCGAAAATTCCAGTAAACAACTGTAATCGGCCAGTCCAATAACGTTAATTTCCACCAAAATGAACTCTAATCTAATAGAATTTGCCAATTAATTATATATCTGCTTTGCTTTTTCACTCGTGATACTTTACAACCTAATAACTCTTCAAAGGGGGTCCATAACATCACCAAAAGATCAAAGGAGTATGCAAAGAAACACTTGCAGCTGCATTACCATACCAAGAAACAAAAGAAACTGTGGTGATGCTTTAACAGAGAGTATGACAACTTGCAGATAAAGAAGAACAACCAACAAAACATAGAATGTGATTGTGATCTCTGTCTTTCTTCTTGATCAGTTTTGGAATGAAATGGAGTAGGAGCCGGTGTTCGGGTCTTTAACTGCCTTGAAGTTGTCTACACTCATCCCGAATTTACCCAATATCGTGTTTCCCATCTCTTTCAGCTTCGCTGTCAAGACCGAAAATTTTGAGAAGACCAAGACAAAACAGTTCAGTGTAAGATTCTATTACCAAAGCGAACCAATGCAGAAGGTACTTCTGAAAGTATTTCAAGTTTATGATGGGACAACATATCAGAGAAGTTGGTTACCTATTGCCTCATCTTTCATCTTTTCCCGTTTTTCAGCAGCCATGGGTTCAAGGCGGCGAATCCCTCTTCTTGCCTGGTCGTTAGAAGGATCCAGTTCAATTATCTTCTTCAAATCTGAATCAAGACCAGAGGAAAGAGGGAGCAAACCAACAGTATCCCTTCATCAGTTCTTCTAGCGACTTCATTTTTCATGCATGAGTTGCACAAGAGATCAAAGAAGTGATTTTGCATTGTGTTTTATGAGCTCACCGGTTATGGCCTCTTCAAAGTGTTCAAGCTTCTCATGGGCCTCGGCTCTTCGAGTCAAAGCTTTCACATAATTAGGATTTAGCTCTAATGCTTTTGTGCATTCCTTGATCGTTTCTTCAAATTTACCCTAAACAAGATTTCCCAGATAAAGTGCTATTAATACTGAGAACTTCATCTGACATCAACCAAAATCCAAAGCAAGATTACCAAAAGAATTCATACCAATTTGAGAAAGCATATAGCTCTGTTGGAATGGCATATAGAACGAAGCTCTACAGATTCCGGCAACTCCTGCACCAGTTGTAAAGAAAGCTCATATTTTGATAGAGCTTCCTCGTAAAGGCCATTTCCGAACAGCTTATTCCCTTCTGCTTTAGCTTCATTTGCTTCTGCCAAAGTTTCCTGCTTCAAATCCAAGCTATTCTCTTTAACATCAAAGCTAAATCAAATAGAACTGAAATGATGATCATAGAAAAACGAACGAAATCAACGACAATTCAACCAATTCCTGCCTCCACGAGATCCAAATCAGTTTCCCCTTCTCACCAACCAATTCAAAGTTTCAAAGTTTCCAGAAATTCCTAAGCCGATGAAATGAACCATATACACAGAACTCGACAACGCTAAACAATGGAGTTACATGAACATCTCGCAGATGATTCATGTAGAACAAGAGAATAACCTGTTTCGATGTTTCTTCACTGGAGCCCACTTCTACTTTCCCTTGTTCCTCATGCCCTTCCTTCTCCTCAGGCTTCTCCGACTGCTGTAATTGCTCGCCCATTTCGGCTTCGTTTTTCCTCTCACCTTCTTCTCCTTCATTATCACTCATTTCCCTTTCGCTGGCCGTCTCGAACCCATCGGAATCATCTCCGCCGACATGTTTCGCCTCCGTAGTCGTCGTCGATGTTTCGCGTTGCGATGAAGACGAGCACGATTTCTTTGGTTCCTCCTTCACGAGGATCTCTTCTTCGCTTTCATTTGATTCGATCAACACCATCTTCGATTCGGGAATCTAGGGTTTACCGAGAGATTTTGAAGGATTGAACACGTCTGTGATGAATCTGATCGACGATTCAGCTCCAAGAATCAAAACAGGAAGGTCCAGAGTCTTCCAACTCAAACGGCGTCGGTCCATTTTTCATTAAAAATGTTTTGGGCCGAGCTAGATTCACTTCAAGCCCAATAGAGGCCCATCTTCACGTTTGCCACCTTTTTTCTGATTTATATTTTTTTTTCTGAAAAACACAATTTCAATTAAATTTTATTTTTGCGTAAAATCAATACACGAATATAATATCGTTGTGCCGAGGACAACAATAATACATGAATACACAAGTCCTCCTTTTAATTCTTTTGTCGTAATTTTTTTTTATTTTGGTAAAAGAGGTGTAGTAATTTTATTCGTGTTTTTTATGCGTAGATTTAAAATATTTTTACCATTTACTAACGCATTCGAGCCCCATCTGGGTTCCCCTTCAAAAAATTTACAAATCGAGATAGGTACGCTTATGTTGAGATTTATCTAATGATCACTATAAATTATAATTATAATGCAATTAATTATAATACATTGATTAGTCAAACTCTTTCTGTTAATTAAGCTTATGGGAACGATCGTCATGTCCAATGTCACACACAACTTGCTGACAGAGACGATGTACCTATTAATCAATGCGTATATGTTTGAGCTATTATGAAATATATCTCTGTATTATATTATTATAACAATTTTCTATTTTTCATAAAAATTGCATCTGAAAGTTGGTATATTAATAATGTTCGGTTTTATGGTTATAACATACAGTGGCGGACGCAGACAGAAATTCAATTGGGGGCAACTAATATACATATAATAAAAAAACTTTATTTAACGGGGGCATAATCTCTATTTTAAAATTTTTTTGTTAAATTTATAAAACAATTTATATTTTTTTCTAATTTCACCGGGGGCACGTGCCCCCACTCTCTAACAAGTGGATCCGCCACTGATAACATAATTACATGATCCATTGCTTTTGAAAAAATATATCTATTAGGCAACAGCTCGAAATGATTCCATTTGACAAATTCATAATAGAATAATAAAATTCCGGTGGAAGCAAAACGAATTACTTATAATAATACGATGGGTTGTGAGAGAGGAAAATAAATAAATATTGTATGCCATTGCCATGGTAACTCTTGCGCCATAAGCAACACAAACTAACAGAACATATACAAATAATGCTAATTGGTTATAAAAATTTAAATCTTTGGTCGGTTTTATAATCAATGCCAATACATATATTATCTCTAACAAGCAGGTCCAGCTTCGACCAGCTTACTCAGCTTCTTGTTCCTCAATCTTTCTTCATATACTTCATTTCCTTGCATCTCGTACCTGCATGCATTATATTTAACCATATATGTACATTAACTATGTATTTTTCAATTAATTATTCCCATAAAAATATCCTTTCTTATAATTAACTTTTAATAACGAGAAAGTAAATATTCTTTCTTAATTTTGTAACTCTATTTATGTGACATTTCGATCATGAATAAAACCACAAGGAAGATAATGAATATTCGGGCCGAATTCTTAAAAAACATGCGATTGTATGAATCTTCGGACCGAATCGAAAAAAAAAATCTTACGATTACGTAAAAAAAAATGTGATGAATAAGTACCTTGGTGGGACGGGTATCAATGGAGACAAGGAGTGAACAAGCTTAAGGGCTTCCTCGTCAGTGTTAACGATTCGATCAAAGCAGAAGTATCTCCCACAAGTTGAACTGTCCTCCAACGCTCTTATGTGAACGTCGGCCAGAAATTCCACGTCCACGTGCGCTAATACCCCGTTTTCGTACATTTGTGCCGCCCCTAATATATATACACGAC